CGGTCCCTTGAGACCCCATGGCGGTTCGGGTTCTCCACGTTGTGTGTACCAGAAACCCTGGCCCAGACTGGCTTTGGTAGCTGTCAAGGAGGGCTGGCTTTATAGTAGATTTGGAACTTGTTTTCTCTTCCTCTCCATCTGCCTTCTGCCGTGTTGGCTTTATTTTCCCTTTATTTCTTCCTCTCTCTCTTTCTTTCTCCCTTTCTCTCTCTCTTTCTTTCTCCCTCCTTCCCTTCGTTTTTTTTTTTTTTTAAGATTTTATTTATTTATTTGAGAGAGAGAATGAGAGACCGAGAGCACGAGAGGGAAGCGGGCAGAGGGAGAAGCAGCCCCCCTGCCGAGCAGGGAGCCCGATGCGGGACTCGATCCCGGGACTCCAGGATCATGACCTGAGCCGAAGGCAGTCGCTTAACCAACTGAGCCACCCAGGCGCCCTTTTTGTTTTTTTTTTTTTAAGACTTTATTTATTTACTTGAGAGAGAGAGAGCACAGAGGGAGAGGGCAGAAGCAGACTCCCTGCTGAGCAAGGTGCCCAATGCGGGACTTGATCCGAGGACCCCGGGATCATGACCTGAGCTCAAGGCAGACGCTTGACTGACTGAGCCACCCAGGTGCCCCCTATTTTCCATTTCTAGAAGGTGGCAAGATGGCTTACTTCATTTGGGTCTCAAGGCCAGTGGGTGGAGCATCTGTGTTCCCTCCTCCCAGCCTTGCTAGCAAAGGGCCATTGGCTCTCATTGGTCCCCACTCCCGCCCCTCTTGCCGCGGCCTGGGGTTGAAACACACCGATTGGCTCAGGCTTCAGTCCCATGTCCACTCCTGGAGCTGGGGGTGTGGTCAGTGGCCCAGCGTCCTCAGCTGCAGGGACCAGATGGGAAAGGGGTTCAGCCGGGCCACTGAAGATACAGATGCCGAAAGGAGGGGGGAGGTGGGCGCTGGCCTGCCTCAGAGCAGCTCAGGTCCTAAGGGAGCCACGATTCAGAAGTGTGTGCAGATCAGTCTGAAGTAGGAACGTGTGAGCTGTATTAAGTGGCAAGTTCCAGAAAAGTCTGATGAGGGCAGAGAGTTTCTCGGTGTTAACGTTGAGTGGGTGTGGAGTCTGGTGGGGGTGCGGAGTGGGGTTGCAGTTGGGAGTGAGCTGGCCCCTCGCCTCTTGGCAGGCATGGGCGGTTCAAGGTGACCACCAGGGAGCTCTGTTCTGGGGCAGCCTTTGGCCTTGGCCATGGGGATGTCAACCCCTCTGAGCCTCCTTTCCCTCAGTTGTGAGGCAGAAGCACCTTACAGAGTGATTTATGTTTTACATGTGATCCTTTGTGTAAATAGCTTAGCTGGACCCAGCAAGAGCTCAACTATGATGAACTAGTATTAATTTGAAAAGACGGGTTAGAGTGTCCACACTCAGAGAGCACAGAGCAGGACTAGGCGAGGTTATTTCGACTGGAGAGATGTCCATTTTCTGTTCTTCGGGGCAGGATGGCACTGTTCTCCAACTCAGACAGCTAGAGTCTGCGGGAGAGGCTCATGGATTGTTCGAACAGTTCCCCACTGCTAACTTGTACGCAGCTACAGAAGGAGGGGTTGCTTTCTACGGTGAGAAATATGTGGGGAGCCTCCCATCCTGCGCCCTCTGAGGGCAGTGCATCACACGTCATGCAGTAGCTGCCCACCACCTGCCCGCCTGTGAAGGCACTTGTCCATGGAGGCCTCTGCCAATGAGTCGGAGTCTCTCCAACTTCTCACAGGTCCCAGTTTCCCTGTTAACACGGCCAACAGTGGGCAGTGACATGGCTCCTTGTTTGTGAAGGGTTTTTGTGTCTCAGAGAGTCGATCGTTTGAAATGTAATTTCTTCAGCTCATTAGGTCAAAACTGGCATTTAAAGCATGTATGGGGGCTCTTATTGATGGCCTTTTGCACCAGTCAGGGTTCTCTAGTGAAATAGGACCAAGAAGATAGATAGATAGATAGATAGGTAGACACACACACACACACATGCACACACGGAATGTATGTCAATATATAACATATGAATTATATTATTAATACATTAATTAAATTAATCATTTGTATTAATATAATCAATAGATTGATACATATTTTTTGAGTAATTGGTTCACGAGATTATGGAGGCTGACAAGTTCCAAGATCTGCAGGGTGAATATGCAAGCTTGAGGCCCAAGAGCTTATAATGGCGCAAGTTGCCATCTCAAGGCGGGCAGGCCTGAGACCCAAGAAAAGCTAATGTTTCAGCTTGAATCTGAAGGTGAGGAAGAAACAAACAAAATACAGTGTCCCAGCTCAAAGGCAATCAGGCAGGAGGAGCTCTCTTACTCGTGAGAGGATCAGTCTTTGTGTTCTGGGCAGGCCTTCAACTGATTGGACGAGGCCCACCACACTGAGGAGGGCAGTTGGCTTTACTTAGTCTGCCAGTTTGAATGTTAATCTCATCCAGAATTACCCTCACGGACACACCCAGAAATAACGTTTGATGAAATGTCTGGACGTTTCATTTAACCATCATACCTTTGATGATATCTTGGGTTTTCAAATTCTTTCCTGAGGTCATGTGGTTGGAATGGTTGGCATTAAAGCAAGTAGGCCATGACATTCTAGAGGCTGCTGGTGGTTTCCAGCTTCTCCCTTGGGTAAGTGTTCAAGGACCTTATTTTAAACTAAATAGGTTAATTTTCTCATGACAAGACTCTATAAACAATCAGGAAGGAGGGAGGTGATTTTATGGGTGATAGGGATCCATTCCCATGAAGCACAGCTAAAGTCAGAGCCTCCAGAACCTTCTTCCAGGGTCAGTAGTCAGTCTTGCCCCAGGGCCAATGACTAAACTAGGTTTCAAGTTCCAAGGGGGCACAACGAGGTTTTCAAATCAGATTTTGCATTTTCAAGGCTTCACAGTATGTGAGAAAGAGTTAGAAACAGCACTGGGACTCCTTAGCCTGAAACCATCTTGGGGTGTCCGTCTCTTTGGGCATCCACATGGGGCTTTCTCACTATAGATTGTGTAGGGTGAGTTATGCCGAAGATACGGATACACATACAGATAAATACATATTTTTCCTGTGTAAATGACGCTTTTCATATTTTTGGTAAAGCATACTAGGTAAGAGTATGCAAAGAAATTACGAGAAACCTGAAAGCTTCTTATTTCATCGTTGTACAAACTGACCAAAGAATTTCTGTGTGCCGGAGACCGAGAGATCTCGTGTGTGTCTTGAATGTGGTCCCCATCTGGGAACAGCTTGCTGTCTGCAGGAGCATAGGATTCTTCAGGGCCCTGTTTATGATTTTTTTGGGGGGGAGGGGCTTGGCTGGTTTCTCATAGTATCAGATATACTCAGAAAGGAGGAGGGACACCATAGACTACGAGGTATTTGGGAAAGCGTTCAAGATCGTGGAGAAATAAATGCAAAGAGCATCGGTAGTCATGATAATAGTATTATTCCCAGTGGGGCGTCATAAACTTTCAGCCATGCCCTGATGAATATTGCATCCTTTGTGCAGAGTGACTAACGCCAGAGACTGAAAGCCTTGTCTTAGCACTTTCCCTGTGGCCCACAGTGACCCTTTACCATCCTGGAGGTAAAAAGCTTAGTGTTAAAACTCACTATCCTCGGGGCGCCTGGGTGGCTCAGTTGTTAAGCGTCTGCCTTCGGCTCAGGTCATGATCCCGGGGCCCTGGGATCGAGCCCCGCATCGGGCTCCCTGCTCGGCGGGAGGCCTGCTTCTCCCTCTCCCACTTCCCCGCTTGTGTTCCCTCTCTTGCTGTATCTCTCTCTGTCAAATAAATAAAATCTTTTAAAAAAAACAAAAACTCACTTTCCTCATAAATCCTCATGATGGAAACAGTATTGACTTGTTTTTACAAGTGCTTGTCATCTGAGAGAGGCTGTAGCACTTCTGTTTATTATTATTACTAACGGTAATTTTTGCTGAGGTCCTCCTGTGTTGCAGGCTCCTTACGTGCACCATCTCATCTAATCCTCTCCTGCCTGTGAGCGACAAATACTATCCTTACCCTATCTTATTTAGGAGGAAACGGAGGCTTAGGGAGATTAATTGACTTGCCCGTGATCACACAGGTAGAGGGTGCCCGAGCCCTGCCCCGGATCCCACCTGGGTGGCCCACGGGTGCTGCTCTCAATGCCACTTGTGCTGGGAGTGGGGATGCACGGACACAGTGGTGCCAGGTTGAGGGTGAGGAGCAAGGGGGCGAAGGACAGGTGTGTCACCCCCATGCAAACGCGGCGCTGGATCCTGTCTTCATTGAGCATTTTTTTAAAAAAGATTTTATTTATTTGAGAGAGAGAATGAGATAGAGAGAGCATGAGAGGGGGAAGGGTCAGAGGGAGAGGCAGACTCCCTGCTGAGCAGGGAGCCCGATGCGGGACTCGATCCCAGGACTCCAGGATCATGACCTGAGCCGAAGGCAGTTGCTCAACCAACTGAGCCACCCAGGCGCCGTTCATTGAGGATTTTGATCTTCTGCTCATTGCAGATTTTCTTTGCATTAGTTTTGTCCTTTTAAAAATATTGCATTGGGGGGGCGCCTGGGTGGCTCAGTCGTTAAGCGTCTGCCTTCGGCTCAGGTCATGGTCCCGGGGTCCTGGGATCGAGCCCCACATCGGGCTCCCTGCTCGGCGGGAAGCCTGCTTCTCCCTCTCCCACTCCCCCTGCTTGTGTTCCCTCTCTTGCTGTGTCTCTCTGTCAAATAAATAAATAAAATCTTTAAAAAAAATAAAAATATTGCATTGGGGCATTATTTATCTGGACGACTGGGCTTTGCAGTGCTCAGGGCAGGCATAATCATCTCCACTTTGTGGGTGAGGACCAGGAGGGCTAGCGAGGTCAGGAGTCCGTAGAGGTCCCCTGGCCAAAAGGGACGGAGCTGGGACGTTCGCCAGGGCTCCTGGGAGCTGGGCTGGAAGTGGCAGCATGACTTAACTGTGGTGATCCTAGCGTTCTCAGGAACGTGTCTCTCTTCTTCCAGGTCGGGAAAGAGGTTGAGGAAGACCCGCAAGTATGACATCATCACTACTCCAGCTGAACGCGTGGAAATGGCCCCACTGAATGAGGAGGATGACGAGGATGAGGACTCCACAGTATTTGACATCAAATACAGGTATGGGGTGGGGACGGCAGTTCCCTCCTGGGCTCTCGGGCGTAGGATGTTCACCTTGGAAAACAACGTGAGGCCAGGCGTGGCGTCCACGTGTCCTTGTTCTTTGGTTGCGTGTTTGACCTTGGGGCGTCCTGCTTACGGAGGGATCTGCTTTGATCCCTTCCTAGAATGCACAGCCCCCAGAAAGCCCGCAGAGAGATGCTTGCAGAGAAGCGGCTATTCCTGCTTTCCCCAGATGCGGATGCTGGTGAAATGCGCTCTGCATGAAGAAAAGGGGGGCTGAATGTCAGACAGCGAACTCGTCACGCACTGCGGGGGGCGGGAGGTGGGGGATGGGGTCTGAGCAGCCGCAGAGGCCACACGTGGTGCACAGAGATGGACACTTCTCTTTTAGCCTCTCTAAAACTCGTGGCTGGGAGCATGGGGTGGGATGGGGGTTACTCCCTGGATGGAATTTACTGATGAGCTCCAAAGGCAGGGGCGTGACCGAAAGGCAGCCCGTAGGAGAGTCCGGAAGACTTTGTGACTTCAGGGCTGTAGTTTGGTTTTCGGATCCTTTTAGAGTGTCCTTTGGATATGTGAGATGCTCACTGTAAGGCTGGGGGCGAGCATAGTTGGGAAACAAGGGCTCAAAGCCTCAAAGAAGAGTAAGCTGTTTGCCCAGCGTTCCGGTTATTACCAACAGAGGGGAGACACCGATCGGGGCTGGACCCCATCCTGAGCTTTCCCTGCCAGAGTTCTCCAGAGAAACAGAACCAATAGAAAGATTTATTTTAAAGGTCCAAGTCTGAAGGTCTGAGAACCAGGAGAGTCAGTGATGTGAGTCCCCATCCAAGTGTAGGAAAAGACCAGTGTCCCAGCTTGAAAACAGCAAGGAGAGTGAATTCTCTCTTACTCACCTTTTGTACTATTCAGGCCTCCAGCTGATTGGATGAGGCCCACCCCCAGCAGAGAGGGGCATCTGCTTCACTCAGTCTACTGATAAAATTGTTAATCTCCCCCAGAAATACCTTCACAGACACACTCAGAACGGTGTTTGACCAAATACCTGGGCACGCTATGGCTCAGTCAAAGTGACGCGTGAGATTAACCAGCACACATAGCTTCTCCATACTTGAGAAGGCACATCTTCCACACCTCTCCTGACTTGTTCTTGATCAGCACAGCCTTGGCTGTTCTTGGCCCTTCTGTGTAAATCAGTTGTCAGAATCCGCAAAATGAAGTTTGGGATTTTGACTCCATGTATCAGTTTAAGGGGAATCAGCCCCTTTATGAGAAACCCTTCCAATCTATGAATATGGGTTGACTTTCCATTTATTTAGGTATTTAAACAAAATGTCTTTCAATACTTTCAAAAATTTCTCCATAAATGTTTTATAGGTTTTTGTTAGCTATATTCCCAGTATTGATATATCCCCAAATATATATATTTGTTACATATCTCCAAGTGTAAATACATATATGTGTGTGTATGTGTATATCTTTAACCTAAAAATACTATTTTGTCATCATGTCTGAAAAAAATGCCTGCATTATCATGTTTATATACATACCAATATTAGAAACAGTTTGTTGATGAGTCACACCTAAATCTTATTAAGAACAGGTAAACATTAAACCATGAATTGCTTATCGTAGATAGCAGAATAAACCATTAGCTGTAATGTGCATGTTAGGTAAATAGCCCTCTTTGAGTAGAATCAAAACACTCAGTGAGGGGCGCCTGGGTGGCTCAGTCGTTAAGTGTCTGCCTTCGGCTCGGGTCATGGTCCCAGGGTCCTGGGATCGAGTCCTGCATCCGGCTCCCCGCTCGGCGGGAAGCCTGCCTCTCCCCCCTCTACTCCCCCTGCCTGTGCTCCTCTCTCAATGTGTCTCTCTCTCTCAAATAAATAAATAAAATCTTTTTAAAAAAAACAAAAACACTCAGTGATACTCATCCATTTGACAACATAATATACACATAATAAAGTTAGTGATTGTACTGATTTTGTTGCTTAGCCATTTTATCTGTCTCACATTGAATGCACAGAAATAAAACATAATGTGGAGAAAACTATGTCTTCATTATTAGTCACAGTGAAAAGGGTCTGCTGCATCCTGCAGACTTGGGAGTATTAGACACTGGGGAGCACTTGAGGGCTTACGTGGATCACTGAACTGTTTTGATTCTGAGACACTGAATAGAATCCCATCCGTATTTAGTGACTGAACCAACGGTGGAAGCCTCAGATCTCACAAAACAGGAAAAGACCAAAACAGAGAGATAGAGCCGTCAATCTGTCCAGATATTCTATCTTTAGACTCGTGCTTTGGTGTAAGGTGGAAAAGGGGGCCCTTTCTTAAGTACCCGGATACACCTATTATTGTGGTCTGAAGACTGCTGGGGTGATATTGTGTCTGGGATCATGAAAAGAAGGTACATACTGAAACGACCATCAGATTAAGAAAATTCCAGGCTTGTCTTAGTTCTTCAAATAATGAAGCAAGCGCCTCTTCTCGGCTGACAATTTGTGCTGTATCAACACTGGTGCTTTTTTTTTGCAATTTTCGGATTTGCATTCTGTCTCCGGTACTTATTTCTCTCTTAGCTGGAAGTCTGTACCTTCTGGCCATCTTTGCCCAAGTCCCCCACCCCCAACCCTCTGCCTTGGGTAGCTACCAATGTGACCTTTTTCTTTTCTTTAAAAGATTTATTTATTTATTTATTTGAGAGAGAGAATGAGAGAGAGAGAGCACATGAGAGGGGGGAGGGTCAGAGGGAGAAGCAGGCTCCTTGCTGAGCAAGGAGCCCGATGCGGGACTCGATCCAGGGACTCCGGGATCATGACCTGAGCCGAAGGCAGTCGCTCAACCAACTGAGCCACCCAGGCGCCCAACGTGACCTTTTTCTACGAGTTTGGTTTTTTTGAGATTCCACATACGAGTAGGATCATGTGGTATTAGTCTTTCGCTGTCTGGCTTATTTCACGTAGCATAACGGCCTCAAGGTCCGCCCATGTTATTGCAGACGGCAGGATTTCCTTCTTTTTTTTTTTTTTTTTTTAAGATTTTATTTATTTATTTGAGACAGAGAGAATGAGAGACAGAGAGCATGAGAGGGAGGAGGGTCAGAGGGAGAAGCAGACTCCCCGCCGAGCAGGGAGCCCGATGCGGGACTCGATCCAGGGACTCCAGGATCATGACCTGAGCCGAAGGCAGTCGCCTAACCAACTGAGCCACCCAGGCGCCCCTTGTTCGGTCTTCCTAAATGGTCAGTCGCCTTTGGGCCCGAGGACTGGAGCAGTCTTGTGTCTCTTGACCCGGCTCCAAGTTCACTCGCATCCTGATATCATTTCAACCCGAGAACAATGCAAACTTCCACCAGGAGCTACTTGAAGTTCAACAGGGAGGCAGGGGAGTGCCTGGCGATAGGAAAGCCTATGGAAGGCCAAAATGCTGACACCAGGAAAGTAACTGAAAATAAGAGCCAAATACTCGATTTTCTAAATACTCAACGGAAGACATTGGAAACACACCCAAAGGAAGCCTAAGGAAGGGAGGCAGCGCCCCTGGCCCCCTCTGCCTTCTCTGCACCTGGAGCAGCTCCCCTGCCATCCCTCAGCCCCTGAAAATGTCCTCTCAACCGGTGAGCCGATCACTGTCTGCAGGGCTGCTAAAACCTCCGGAGACATTGAGGTGCCTGAGGGACTTAAGGTAATTCCTGTCTTAAAAATTACCACGCGGGGCACCTGGGTGGCTCAGTGGGTTAAGTGTTTGACTCCTGCTCAGGTCATGATCCCGGGGTCCTGGGATCGAGCTCCGTGGGGAGTCTGCCTCTCCCTCTGCCCCTCCCCCCTCTCATGTACTCGCTCTCTCTCATTCTCTCTGTCTCAAATAAAAAAAAAAAAAAAAAAAAGGAAGACCGAACAACAGCTTTCTTGAGTACAGGTGTAATGTATGCTGTAGACATGACAAACAAGAGAAAGGAAAAATAAAAATTACCTGTAATCTCACTGCTTAACGGTAACCACTAGAGTGTGTATGAGTACGTATCTGTGAATTTTCTTTTCTTTCTTTCTTTCTTTTTTTTTTTTTATAGAAGTAGGACTGTGTTACACATGCTGTTTTGGAATCGTTTCCCACCTGAACGACACATTACAAACAACTTTATAGGTCAGTAAGTTTGAAAGAACAAGGATTTTAAGACCCTTTTTTTTTTTTTTTTTAGATTTATTTATTTATTTGATAGAGAGACACAGCGAAAGAGGGAACACAAGCAGGGGGAGTGGGAGAGGGAGAAGCAGGCTTCCCACGGAGTAGGGAGCCTGATGCGGGGCTCGATCCCAGGACCCTGGGACCATGACCTGAGCCGAAGGCAGATGCTTAACGACTGAGCCACCCAGGTGCCCCACCTTTTGCAATCCTTCTTATGCTAAATATATATATATATTATTTTTAAGGCATCATAAAATGTTCCTTCCTTTTTTTTTTTTTAAAGATTTTATTTATTTATTTGAGACAGAGAGAATGAGAGACAGAGAGCATGAGAGGGAGGAGGGTCAGAGGGAGAAGCAGACTCCCCGCTGAGCAGGGAGCCCGATGCAGGACTCGATGCGGGACTCGATCCCGGGACTCCGGGATCATGACCTGAGCCGAAGGCAGTCGCTTAACCGACTGAGCCACCCAGGTGCCCTTTAAGACCCGTTTTATGTTCGGTTGAGGGTTTTTGAGAACTTCCTTGTCTGCACCTGATAATCTGCTCACGGGTACTTGTCTTTCCTGTTTAGACATAGCTCAACTAAATATTGGGGTTCCCTCTGGGAAACAGACTACATTTCAATCAGTGCAGCTGAATTGGGACCTTGGGTTAGTTTATGAGTGAGTGCAAGGAGGAAAACCGTGTTCTTGGATCCAGGGCACCGAGGCAGCAAGTCGGTTCAGACTGTTGCACGTGCCTTTGTTTGATAACACTTTGTGACTTGGAGCCTGGACGCATCGGCCAGGCAGGAAATGGGGAGAAGGTGGCCAGGGCAAGGCTTCTGTGCAGAGCCCTCTTTTTGGGCTCCAGTGCAACTGGGATGCTCTAATCCGTGAGGTAAGACCTCCGGTGTTTAGGGCCGGATGTGGTGGGGGCTGGAGTGGGGGGAGGGCAACAGAGTCTGTGGAAATGAATTTCCAGGCTAATTAGAGGAAAGAAATGATGGCTGAACAGATTACAGAGAACCCTGGGGTTTTGAAATGATTCCATATTTCACAGGACGTTTGAGTCCCGGCCGTTCGTGCTTTGAGCTCGGTTGGCCCAGCGTGCAGCTTGGCTGATGTTTTGGGTCTCTGTGCACCCCCGCCTTATTACAGGAGACTTCTTTTTTTTTTTTTTTTTAAGATTTTATTTATTTATTCATGAGAGACAGAGAGAGAGAGAGGCAGAGGGAGAAGCAGGCTCCCAAGGAGCAGGAAGCCCGATGCGGGACTCGATCCCAGGACGCTGGGATCATGACCTGAGCCGAAGGCAGATGCTTAACCATCTGAGCCACCCAGGCGCCCTACAGGAGACTTCTGTGATCCCCTCTAGGCGTTTCCCCAACGTGAGGCAGATGCTGCCCTTCCTCCTGTTTGTCCGTGGCTGGTACTGGTGGCCATGCCATGTGCCGCCCAAAGGTAGGCTGCTGGGAGCCTGGGAGACACGCCGCTCCCACCCACCGTGCGTCCGGGCCCAGTTCCTGTGCCTCTTAGGTTTGCAGAAGATGTGGACTGTGGGAATCCAGTCATGCATTCTAGAAATGCCTGCCTCCCACCCTCTCCGGGGTAGAGCTTCCTGTGGGAATCTCATTAGAAACCGATGAGATTTTTGCTGTGACGCCTAGGCGCTGGGCCTGGTATCTTGTCTTTGGAACAGCGGGCATCGGGTGGCTGATTGCAGCCAATGGCCCCTGGACGTAAGGCTGGGAGCAGGAGAAAACAGATTGACTCGCTTGTCCTAGACTGAGGCCCAGGCTCAGAGTCCCCAGGGACAGCCAGTGGTGGATGCTAAGTGCGCTCAGCGCAGTGACTTCTGGAAGGTTGGGCTCAGAAGGCCCTTTTGCGTATCCCGTGCTTCCTCATCTCCTGGAACGAAGGTTCTAGAGTGAGGAACAAAGCTGTTAGGAGCATCAACCTGTGGACAGCTGTGGAGGCGATGGGTATCCTGAGCTTCTGAGGCCCGGAACGAATCGTTGACCTGCAGGCCCCTCCCCGGGGATGCCCGAGTATCCTACCTGGACCTGAAACAGAAGCAGAGTCATCCCCAGAGCACTCGGAATGAAGCTCAGCCTGCCCTCTTCCTTACAGGATGCCGAGCTTGTGTGTGTAAAATAGGCATGTCATGAGACCTTTTGGTTTCCCTGAAAAGGAATATTGGCAATCTGGGTTCAGTTCTCGGTAAGGTACTGTGCACCTTAGAACTCTTTTGAGTTTCATGTCTGTGAGGGGAGAACCTATGCAAACAGGAATTTGTATGGCAATGAAAATTTACCGCTAAGTGAATGTGACTTACTCAGTTTCCTGCCTACACACACACACACGCACACACACACACCCACCCCCACAGAGTTTATAGAGCTACGTAAGAATCAGGCAAAAAGGAAAAAAAGGAAAAAAGAAACCCAGCACAAATAATCCTCACTAGCAATGCTTTTGTAAAAGCTAGCCACGTTATCCAGTGGTTTCTTCCTATGTTTGGTGTCCTGGGATGAAAGCCACAGGCCTGCTGATGGGCGGTGGTGATCCTCACGTCTGTCTCATGCACGCTCCCAGACGGGGCCTCGCTACCTCCCTCGGCTTGTCCTTTATTCCTGGGGCCCATGTGCCCTGTTCCTGAGGGGTCCTTCACCACTGCACAAAGGGGTCAACTGCCAGGCGCCGGACAGGTGCAGAGGCAGGTATTCTGTGGGGAGGACTCTTTCTGCTGACAGACAAAGCATGGGACATGGACAGGTTGGGACACGTCCCTGTCCTTCTCTGCGATGGTTATGACCCAATGTCGTTGGACAGGACACTTGGAAATTTGAAAGGAATAAGCAGGGAGCGTGGCACCTAAATGCGTCCTCACATCTCAGGGAACTTCCAACGGGGAATGGGGGGCGGGCTCAGCATGGAGACTCTTTCAGGTTTATCTTACTGATGAAGCAGGAATGTCCTTAGCACTTTGGCTCTTCTGGGGGGAGACAGAGAGGCTGAGAGCATCCTTTTAGAAATCTCTGCTCATGCCCCGCTCCATGTGGCCAGCTTGTGAGCCTGCTTGGTGCAGTCACTGGGAGTGAAGATGGGTGAGCCTGGCCTGCCCTCCGGGAGCTCGTGCTGAGACGGGGACACAGCCAGGAACACTGACACAAGACAGCCCCAGAACCACAGGGGAGGAAAGAATGGGGTACTGTGGACAGCCGGGAGGGGTGCCCCTCCTGGGCAGGAAGCTCTCCCCAGAGGAGGTGCAGCTTGTGGTGAGTTTGAAAGGAAGCGCCCCAGAGCAGGTGGACGGGCAGGGAGGGAGGAGTGAGGGCGTTGCAGGAAGAGTTGATATAGCATGTGCGAGTTTGGGTGTGCAGAGGGAGAGCCAGGTGAGCTGCAGCTGTGAGCTGCGCACCCCCCCCTGAGCCCTCCAGAGGAGAGCCCCAAAGCTCATGAGCTTGGGGAGGCAGCAAGATGAAGTGAGGAGACCTAGGGTCCGTGTCCATGGTGCCCTTGGGCTTCCTGAATCAGTGTCACCGGCGTCTGAAGCCAGCCCCACTGCTCAGACTTGCCATGGAGCTCCCCTCCTTCGGGAGAGGCCGAAGGAGCTGGTGACCCCCAAGGGCGGTTGCATGTGCCCAGAGCGACTGCTCCCCCGTGGAGGTGTGTGGAAGCTCTGTTGTCTTCTCTTTTCGGGCAGTTGCCCTGCAGGTTTAGCTCTGCTGTGGAAGAACTGAGGAATTGTATCCAGCATGGTGATTCGTGGGGGCCCCCCTGTGTCTGCCCTCTTCCACTCCACCCTTCATGTGCGTTTATTCTATATAAGCACAGGGGTGGACACAGCTGCCTGGGGGGATGGGCGCCCATAGGGGTCCTGGCCGAGGACCCTGGGGTATGCTCTCGTAGCATTGCCAAGATGTGCCATCTCTAGATCAGCAATATCGGCATGCCCATTCTTGGTTTGGTCTTTGAGAGCTTTGAAAGCCCCAGGCCCCCGGTGGCCCCCCACCCCGCCCCCGCATCCTCAACATTGAACCTGCAGTGGATGCAGCCTGATTGGGGGGGCAAGCCTGGTGGGGGGGTCTGAACACTTGAGGTCCAGCAGTCTGCATCTGTAGGAGGGGGGAGTGCCTGGGCTCGTGGATGTTAGTCTGGGAGGTTAGCCCCCCACTCCCCAGCCCGGGGGAGGGGGCATGTGGGCGCTGGAAGAAAACCACCCCATGCAGGACACGGCTGTGACGATTTTTCTTTTTTTTTTAAAAGATTTTATTTATTTATTTGACAGAAGCAGTGAGAGAGGGAACACAAGCAGTGGGAGTGGGAGAGGGAGAAGCAGGCTTCCCGTGGAGCAGGGAGCCCGATGCGGGGCTCGATCCCAGGACCCTGGGACCATGACCTGAGCCGAAGGCAGACGCTTAACGACTGAGCCACCCAGGCGCCCCACGATTTTTCTTTTTCGTCTGTCGAGGAGGGTACCCTAGTGGCCAATAGGAGGATGCCCCTATTTGGATTTTTTCTTGAAGTTTTTATTTGGACGTCATTTCCAACTTAAAAAAAGTTGCAAAAGCAAATATAGTATACTCTTTACCCAGATTTTCCTGGTTTGACATTTTGCCTCATTTGCCTGATGATGGCTCTGTGTGTGTGCATACGGATTTTTTTTTTTCTGAACTATTTGAGGGTAAGTTACATATATCATGTCCCTTTCCAGCAAATACTTAAGTGTGTATTTCCTAAAAATAGGATGTTTGTGTCTTTTAGAAAGTAGTTACCCGATAATGATAATATTTATATTTGGGAATCATGTAACATTTTGAAAAGATGTTCATAATTTTATAACTTCTGTTAAATCCCCACTGTTTTTACATGTGTGATTTTTGTGTTGCCCGTGATCAAACACGAACAGAGGACGGTGATGGGTCTGACCTCGCAGATTTTCCCTCCTTTCCTGAGTCTCTTTGGATGATGTCTTGAATGGATTTAGTTTTCAAGCTTTCTTTCATTCACTGCACAAATGTTCCTTGCACCCGCTACGTTGCCTGGTACCATGCACTTGGTGCTGGGGGTTTGAAGGTGAGTGAGCTCAGACAGGGATCTTGCCTGCAAGGAGCTCCCAGCCTAAGCAAGAGCCAGAAATGAATCAGATGATGACATAAATCAGGGATTCACAAACTTTGGCCTGTGGGTCAAATCTGGCTGGCGGCCTGTTTTTGTATGGCTCATGAGCCAAGATTGATTTACATTTTTAATGGTTGAAAAAGAATTAAGAGAAAACTAACATTTCATGACGCGGAAAAATTGTTAGCAGATCAAATTTCGGGGTCCACAAATAAAGTTTTATTGGAACACCGCCATGCTCAAGCATTTTCATACTGTCCGTGGCTGATCTTGCTCCACAGGGACAGAGTTGAGTAGTTGCCATGGAGAATGTAGGACCCACAAAATGAAAAAATATGTACTCTCTGGACTTTTACAGAGAAATTTTGCGAAGCCCTGGTGCAAACACTGATAGAAGTGCTAGGAAGGAGGGATACAAGGACAAAAGAAGTTGTGTGCTAGTGAGTCTGCATGGGGAGCTAGGATCCTGAGCTAGGACCTGAAGGAAAGGAAGGACTTATCTTCCAGACGGCATGTTCAAAGGTCCTGTGGTTGGGGAGTGTGGCCTGCAGGTTGGAGACCATTAGGGTCAGAATGGATGCAGGGTTCTGCTGAGGGCACTGACTGGTTCTTCCTTTTCTTTCAGGTAAAATCTATTTCCAGCATGTGGGCATCCTGTGGAATGTTGGTCAGCTGCAGCCTGGGGTGTGAAGGATCTGGAAGCTGTCTCGTCTGAGGTGTTGAAACCAAAACAAACATTGTTGTTGAAACTCTGACACCCTTGCGTGTGTCAAACGACAGCTCCGAATGTTACTGCAGGAGAGTCGCCTCTACCACCCTCTGGATGCCCCTTTAAAATGTCACCCTTTTCTCCTCAAGAGGGCTTTTGCCTTGCTAAGGGACAGGGGTAGAAACATTTTGACTTAAAAAAAATAATTTTAAGGTAACTGTTGACAAAAGTAAAGAGTAAAGTTCAGAAGTTAACAGGAACCTAAAAAACGCAAAAGCCTAAAGGATATTCAACTTATAATCTCTGACATTCTGCTCTCCTGGATCTACGACATTCTAGACGTCTGACCTTTTGGTGGTCTTTTGGGCTTGGTCAAATTCTGGTCTGCTTTTGGTGACGGCTGTGCAAAAGTTCAAAGTGGAAATGTTGAGAACTGGCAGCCCTAGCAGAAGTGTAACTGGTGTTTCTGGCTCCTTTTTCCTTTTTTAAAAAAAGGGTTCAGCAGAATCAGGTGTAGCTAGTTCACAAAGAATTCTGAGCATCAGGGAAAAACCTATATGTGCAGGTGTGTGTGTGTGTGTGTGTGTGTACGTACACATAGAATCATTTCTCCTTTTTTGGGGGGAAGAAGCAGTACAAGGCAGCCTTTGGTTAGGAACATCCTCCGTGTTTCTCTGCCCTGTTCTACACTGTTGCTCTTGGAAATGTAATTTTAAAAAATCACCGTGGTGATTCAGATGAATGGGGATTGGGCTGGCTGGAAAAGGCACAGGGTCGGGGACCGGGTTTGAAGTTGGGTCTAGGCCAGGCTGGACTGGGAACCCTGCGGGACCCAGGAGGTTACCGCAGCAAGGCCCCTCCCGCAGGTGTGGTTTGGGGGTCGTGGCTTGTTTCAGAGCTTGCATGCCCAGATGTCTGCTGGCTTCCAGAAGCAGGGCTGACTTCTCGGGGTTGATGGAGACCTCGCATTTTGCTGTTTCCTGGGGGTTGAGATTATCTGCTAAAACCAAGCAGCTTCTGCTAAAGCTCTGTTAGCAGTGCCTTTGGGGCCCTGGGACTCTGTTCTTTCTGGAGAGGGGTTTTGCTTTTCTTTTTCTTCTTCTTCTTTTTTTTAATCCCCTCTTTTCTGTTCTGGCATTCTGCAAGGTTTGTGCGTTTGCCGGTGGATGCCTGCCCGTTGGCTTTGGATGAAAACTCTAGCCTTTGCTGACCCACCTGTTCTCAGATTCTTCAGTTTCCTGAGAAGGGCAGTCAGTGCGGCGGGGTCTGGGGGGGCCCCCGGGTTCCCGAGTCCCTGGCTGTTGGGAAGGCACGCTGGCCTCTGCAGGACAGAGGGGTGCCCAGGGAGATGGCTTGGGGAGGAGCGCACCTTACAAGCAGCTGTCCCTCCACTCCCTCTGGCTCATGGGTGGGTTCTCTTTCCCTTCTGCTCTCCTCCGCCCTGTTTGCCCGAGGCGCGGGCCTGCTTTACCTCTCCCCTCCACCGGGGACTCATGGGCCAGAGTGGTGACTCAGTGGGACCTGGGCGCCCTCCGAAACTTGGAACTGGAATCCTGTGTGTGGGGCGAAAGCCCAGTGCTTCTGCCTTACACATCAACACCGGGGCCACCTGCCGGGTGCTTTCCGCTGGGCCTGGCAGACGGGGCGGCCACCAAGAGTGACCTTCCAAGTCCCAGAGCTTCAGCACCGTGTGCTCCTAAATAAAACCCTTTCGGCATGAGCCACGTGTGCCTCGGTTTGGATGTGTTCCGAGGAGGCACCAGCGAGGCACCTTTCGGTGGTCAGGGGTGCGGGCACACAGCTGGGAGGAAGGCAGGGGTGGGGGTCCCGGGGGAGGGGCTTGGCCCTGGTGGTCTAGAGGACAGTTGAGGAATGCGGTGGGGCCGGCGGGGACGAGGGCGTGGGAGGGATGTTTCCGCACCTGCTCGTTTCCTGGAGGCCGCTGCTTTGGCGAGGAAGTACTGAGCCTGCACCGAGTTTGGAGAATCCTGGGGTATCTCCAGAGAAGACACAACCACTTGTGTCCGAAAGTTGCTGGCTTCTTACTGCCCCCTACCTCCTTGGCTTGGCTTCAGCTGGTGAGGAGCAGGAACGCGCGGAGTCCCAGCCGGGTGGGCAGGTCCGTGAGGAGACGCCAGGAAGGAAAGCACGCTTGCTTCCATCCTAACGGGGTGTCCTTGGAAGTTATGGAGGCGCTGGTGGGCGTGCTCGGCCTTCCTCTTCCCAGAAAAGCGGCTCCTGCTCACTTCTCTCACAGCTGGATTTGGCAGGTGGCTCTCCCAGCAGGGCTGGGGGGGCGGTGGGGAAGCCAGCTCACCCCCGGAAGGTCCTGTCAGCTAGGGTCTCCTGTGGGGTCAGGTCCTTCAGACACCCAGGGAGGGGCCACGCTGGTGGGGGAGAGGAAGCTTGTCCCGGAGTCAGTGGGGGTCCCCCAGGGTTGGCCCATACTGCACCTTGCCTTTTATCGGGGGGGGGGTGGTTCCATTGGGGATCCACCCCCACCATGCCCCCCTGCGACACAAAGAATGCCTGTCTTACCTGGTGTAGGACCATGTAGGACCTAGGAGAGCCTGAAGGGAAAGGCGATTCATAGTATCAAAGCCCTTCCCTCTACTGCCTGCACATTATTCAGGAGATGGTTGTTCCATATGGTGTGGGGCTGGGGGAGAGACTGGGTGGTTGATGCAAAGGGACTTTTTATAAGGAATCGGCACCCTGTCGCTGAAAGTCTTGTCCATCTCCCCTCTGTGCCCCCTTCAGTGGGAGTCTTGTGTTTAAGTGGAGTCAGAGGGAGATGACCCAGAAGAGCAAGATCCAAGGGATGGGATATAGCCGTGCCCCAGGCCTGCGAGTGAGACTGAGGCAACCATTTCAGCCGATTGGACAGCTGCCCTTTCCTGAAGAGGGGAGCGGAGGGAGGGGAGAAGAGGGAAGAGGAGGGAGGGGAGAAGAGGGGAGGGGAATGAAGAGGAGGGGAGGAGAGAAGAGGTGAGGGAAGGGAAAAGGGAGGGAGGAGAGAAGAGGGAAGAGGAGGGAGGGGAGAAGAGGGGAGGGGAGGAGAGAAGAGGGGATGGGAGGGAAGAGGAGGGGAGAAGGGGAGGGAAGGGTACTCAGCACAGGAGAGTGCGCTAGTGCAGGGCTGGGGGAGGACTCCATGCTGCCTCCCCGATGGAGCCCCCTGCAGCCCCCTGCCCGCTGCGCACCTCTTCCCAGAGCAGAGTCATGAATTTGCAGGACCCGATATTGCTGACAGTTCTCACCATTCATGGTCTCCTGGGTCTTCTGAGGGTATTGGCGTTAGGTCTTGTCTTCGGCAATTAAGTGGTTTCATCCTTCGAGGGCAAGGGGCGAGGGGTGAGTGGGCTCTGGGGCCCCCATGTCTGCTACAACCTGCCAGCCAGTGTGGAGAAAGGGTCTGCCCCAGCAGGCCCCCCAGATGGCTTCCTGCGGAGACAGGTGGGGGCCAGGGCTGGCCTTGGTGTCTTGAAACATTCTTGTGGTTTGTACTTATGGACCCCAGAACACGTGGACTCAAGCGCACACGGCACACAGCTTGTGAAAACGGTTTATTTTGCATTGTTTTAATTTTTTAATTATTTTTTTTGAGGGGGGAGGGGCAGAGGGAGAGAGAGAATCTTAATCCCAGTACACAGCCTGATGCGCATCTCATCCCATGACCGAGATCATGACCTGAGCTGAAATCAAGAGTCGGATGCTTAACCACCCAGGTGCCCCTATTTTGCATTGTTTTGGAGAACCAGGCAGGCTCCCACGTTCCGGAGGTGGCCGTGAGCACACCCTAGATTGCTACCCGAGTCTTCGGTCCACCAAGTGCTTGGGTGTGCGTCTCCTTGGAAAGTGTACTCAGAACGTGCTGAGGTGTGAGATTGTGTGTGCAGTTGGTTGGCTTATCAGCAAGCTCAGTTCTCCCAGGGATGGGTTTTCCACGAGCTACGCAGACATGATAGGAACACAGGGAGCTCTCGTGTGTTGGCAAAGCCGGGGGCGCGGGGCCTGGGCTGGAATGTCTAACCGCTGACCTGTCGTGGGAGCTGCGGGCAGGTAGGAGTGTGGTGACTTTTCCTCCGTGTCTGCGGGAAGACCAGCCAGGGTGCCGAGCCCCGCGGGAAGGAGAATCCGGAGGCGGCCAGACCCGCGTGGGATTCCTGGTCGGGCTGCCGACAAGCCGACAAGCCGTGTGAGCCTGGCCTCACCCCTCCCAACGGCCATAGGGGAGGAGCAAGCCTACTTCTTTGATGATTGTGATCATTAAAAGGAATGATCCAGCAAAGCTCGAGCTGCATGTGCCTGGCACAGAGTCACTCGGGAAATTGTCACCGCTGCCCCCCGTCACTGGTAAGGTTTGAGTCCCTCCTGTGGGCCAGGTGTGTTTGCATCCAGGCTCTTGTTCAGCTCCTTGGGAGAGTCCTTTCTGTAGGCGTTCGCCTGGAGGTGCTGCTCTCATTTCCACGGGTCCTGGGCTGTGCCCATCCACAGCCGCACATCCTCCCTCACTCCCCGTAAGAAATCACATCTCCTGTGGGCCCAGCACTTTCATGGCCTGGGAGTCCAGCCAACCATGTGGAGAGGCTGGTGATGGTCTTTGTTTTCTCCTTGGAGGCACGGGACTGGGATGGTTTTGCCGCTGTGCAGGGTCAGCTGGTTAAAAGGGGCAGGTCTTGGGCCTCGAGTCTCCTGCCCTCTCCAGCACTTTCCCCTAAAGAAAGGCAGGGGGGCATCTCTTCAGAGACCATATAGCAGCTGACTTGTGGGATGGCATAAAACATCTGAGCTCTGGGTCAAGGACCCTGAAGGTCACGTGTCCCGCCTGGCACCCCACCCTCTAGAGGGCCGCATTCTGGCTGTGGCCTCCTCATGGGATCCATGTCCTTCCCTCTCCAGATCTCATGCTAGAATTCTCTGCCTCAGTGTACCTGGCTTCCCGGGACGTCCTGTCTAGGGCCGCTTGCGTGTCTGCACCGTGGCTGAAGAGTGGCCAGGTGTGCCTGGGACGGGGGTGTGCAGGCTGCCAGAGGTGTCCACGGACAGGTGCAGGGCCCCTCGCAGTGCAGACCAGGCGGGGATGGCAGGAGCAGGGGGACAGGCTGCCGGCCGGGGCCTCTGCTGGAATCCTGACCTGGGCGCTGCAAACTGGGGCAATGGTTCCGCTCAATCCACGGGACCCGAATTTGGGCTGTGCGCTGGGGAAGAGAGGGTGTTTGGCTTCCATTCTAGGTCTGATCTCCTCAGTGTCATCGTACAACTTTAGAACTGATGGCAGGGAGACAACCAGATGCACACACGGATGACAAGCCTGCCCCGGGTACCTGCGGGGTGAGGACGCACCGTTTGCCAGACTGGAGTCTGGTTCACGGGCATCTTCCATGTCTCCTTTTTTAAATTTATTTTTTCTTTCTTCCCCAATCAAAGATGTAGTAGGGACGTGCTTTGAGATTGCGTTGTTTTCCTTTGTGATGATTCTCTCACATTACACGATGTGAGACCATTATCGATTCAACTGGCCTTGACATCACCCCGCATTTTCCGATGTTCTCGCTCTCCTCCCAGTTCCCTCGAGGCCCTCGTGAGCATTAGTGTACTTTTCTCTCATTTTACTCGGAGCCACTATCCATGGAAATAATTGCTGGAATTGTTCTGGAATAGAAAGTGAAGAACAACTGAGTTGTATAAGCACCACATAAAGTAACGAAAGAAATGGGATCATCTCCTTTTCCTTTGAAAACTACCCCAGGGGTATGTTGCTCACACGTGTGTGTGTGTGTGTGTGTGTGTGTGAGAGAGAGAGAGAGAGAGAGAGAGAGGGAGGGAGGGAGGGAGGGAGGGAGAATCGAATGGGAAAAGGTGCCCAGGGTGGGTGCCTGATAAATGGGATGTCATTGTATTCCACATTCAGCAGGTGTTCAGGGAGCCACAAGGCACATCGCAGGGTCTGCTGGGCCACAGAGGTGAGCGGGACAGGCGCGCTTCTGTCTTGGAAGGCTGGTGGAGAGGAAGGAAGAGGCCGGCACGCAGAGCCCCATCAGCCCCAACCTCTGCTTGGCTAAGATGTCTGTTAACAGTAGAGCATCAGCTACAATGTGTTGTGCTTTAAACAGCGTCCAGACACCGTCTTAGGGGCTTCAGCTCTGAAGCCCAACTCGAGGCCTGCTTCTAGTATTCACCACGCGTGGGACCCTGGGCACGGCTCTTACCCGCCCGTGAGCCCCTCTGCTCACCTGTAGAAGGGGCATAGGAGAGCGCCCGCCTCGTGCTGTGGTAAGCACAGGCACAGGGCTCTCACGTGTTAGTGCATGTGGCACGACTCCAGGGGACCTTCTGCTACCATTTCTGCTCTACAAGCTAGGAAACCAGGGTACGGTAATGGACTTGCCCAGGTCTGAAGCCCTGGGTGCTGCATCGCTCCCCGGTGCTGGGTCTCGGTGCGAGCGTAGGGGGCCAGGTTGTGCTGGGGCCCTGCTGCCTGGAGGCCCTGCTGAGAGCTACATGGCGTCAGAGGCACTGACAGGGCGCCGTCCGTGGAGGGCTCTCCTGAGGCGGCTCTCTTTCCCCTGGGCAAGGCGTCTGTGGCAACAGGTGCTTGGTGCTTGGGAGAGTGGGGTCCCCAGACATAGCCCCTGGGCCGAGAGGAGAAGGGAGGGCGGGGTGGGGACAGGAGGCTGCCGGAGGGCCTTTCTTCACCTGGATGATCCAGCTCCTTCCCTGG